TCTACCCATACTGGATAACAGGATGTGATGTCAGCGCTGCAAGTCTTACTGGCGTCATATTGTGTACCATTTTTGCCCTCACACGTATTACATTTTACAGCCTTACTACAATACATACAGAGCTGCTAAAAACAAAAATATCTTTAAATATATAAATAGAGAGCATCACTAGTCGATATCAATATCTAGCATCTTATACTGAATAAAGCACATACTTCAAGGCTCCATTCCTTTTATGTTACAGCAGACTCCATCAACCATCTCCTTTCTCTCTCCAGCATGCAGATCATTTAAATATATAATACATATTAAAATAAAAATAAATATGTAAAAAAACTTTCAATAAATATATAAAATATAAACTATTAAATGAATACAGAAAAGTTTAGGCAGCTCAAACTCTGGAGAAGGTTTATGAATGATGTATATGATATTCTTACATCTGTTGAGCCTTTTATCCTAACCTTATACAGGGGTCCTTACATCATATGTGGAAGTTCTTTTAGAATTGTTTTTTATGCTGAGGAGTGAGTATGATACTGTTAGGATATGGTTCCATGCTTCAGAAAGATACTGTATTATGAAAATGTTTTCTTTTTGTTGATTTTGAGCCAAGGATCTAAGAGAGTGGAGAAAATCCTTGTTCAGTCCATCCAAGCCTGGGAGAAGTGTACTTGAGATCTTGTCTAAATAAACTCTATGGGGGAAAAGTATATCTGATGCACTTTATTATAAGGAATCAATACTTTCTGGTGAGCTTTTAATGTTCCCCATGAGTACACTAAGCACTGTGATGGAATTTATTTGGGAGCAGAAGGATTGTGTGTTAAGGACTATTTTGCATCATGGACTACTGTATTGTGACTTTTGAGCAATTTATATTCTTTTGGGCACCATATCATGGATGTTTTTCATTTGTATTTAATGAGTGTATGACACAGTCACTTTGAGCTTATAGGCTAGCGCTAATATATGTGTGACTGTTTTAAGTGTTGCCTGAAGCTTTCAAAACCCCTGGTAAAATTTTTTGGGGGGAAGGAAAGCTATTTAATTGAGCACTGTGCAAACACTAGTCAAATGTTGATGCCCCTCTCAGCCCTCATGCTGTCATTGACATGAATTGAGACATTAGGCAACACGTGTTGCCAACATCTTCCAAATATTGCAGACAAGATCAAAGAAATGCAAAGTAAATTGAAAAGATATTCTGATTTGTGTGTGTACTTGGCCATCCGATTTTATGTTACAGAACAGTTCTTGGCTTTGGAAAGCATTGAGAAAGCTTAAAAAATATAAAGCATCTGTCTATTTTAAATGACTGTGTGGACAAAGTCTTAGTGAAGTAAGGTATAAGACAGCAAATCTGGAGCATACACCTTCAATAGAGCACTCAAATTCTGCCCCATTTTATCCTTTTAAGTAAACAACATTTAAAAAAAATGAGTACCAAGACTGTCTGCTTAGGAAGAAATGATACGTCAGGAATAAAGTATGAATATAATGGTCATTGTCACCAGCCTGGAGAACTTAACACTATGAAATTATTTTATTGTGCAATAATAGTTTTGATATTTCTCTGACTGGTTATGAAAAAGAGATAGCTTTACATTGATTGCCAAAATATGTTCTTTTGTTCTGTAAGAAAAACAAAGACTGACATTGCTTTTATAGGAAGTGAACACCAGCAACAAATGGTCTGGAATAATGGCCTGTGGCCACAATTCCTGTAAAATACTCAAATGCTTTCCCTGAAAGCTATGTTAAAATGCAGTTAAATGGTTATTTCACAGGCAGAAAAAACATGTGCCAAACAATTTAAATGGCAATAGCATTAGCAACAGCAGATACCCTTTTAAAATAAACCAATAAATTCCTCCAAAGACATTAAATGAAAGAAAGCAGCATAAGAATCTATTTATCTATCTATCTATCTATCTCCATATTGCTTTCCATCTATCTATTGATTGATCCATATATACTCTATACACAATTTTTACTTACACCCATAGAGTAACCTATAGTGACTTTTTATTATTCTTGTTATTATTATTATTTTTTATTCTTATTTATTTTTTTCTTTTTCCTTTTTAATAAAAAATGATTCTCAATAAATCTTTAGAATAAGCCTGTAGGTGTAACATGTGCAAAAAATAATTTAGTATAAAGTTACACCAGAATATTTTCAGTAAACTGGTCAGAATATATTTATTAAGATAAAATACATTTTATGTATGCAAAAATCTATTCAGAAAATGGCATATTATAAATAAATCCTAATATTAAAATGTTAAATGTTTATGCTAAAATTGTTAAAAATGTACATAAATAGTAACAGCTTTTTACTTACTGTAGCATATTACAAATCAATTATTTAGTCATTTTTCTTTGAAACACGGACTCCCTGCTGTAGCAAATGCAACTGAAATCAAGGTGATCTCAAACATCTTGTGGAGATGCCCTAAACTTGTGGTATGATGTCTCACTGTCGTGTCTAGAATTAACAGTATATTAGGAACTCACATAAGCAATAAGCAACACCCTACTTACTTGTATACCAGGTTGCTTTGAATACACTAAACTAGACCAGACATGACAATCTCTATTTGCAGCCCATAGATTGGAACTGTAGTACTTAATTGGGTTTCAACTGCAAGCCCCACATTAGAAGAATGGTTTGCTGAACTCAAACATATTACATATAAAAAAATTATACATGAATGATATAGAGTCCAACAAATGTTTTCCTTATTATGATCCTGAAGAAGCTCATCGTGAAACACACGAGAGACTAAGAGGCTGATTGTTACAATTCCATTAACAATTATATTTTGCTATATGAAAGTGATGGCCAAGGATGTGGTGGCCAAGTTACTTCCCATCAACCTTTCTATATCAATATACAGTATGGTTGGATACAGTAGCTGGAAATGTCAGATATAGTGATAAACCCATAGTGTATGGTATGACTAGCCAGCTAAACAGAGTCTGGAACTATGGCCAGGAAGATTGGAACTATGGGCAGCACAGTGGCTAACTGGTTAGCACTTTCGCCTGGCAGTACTAGGGTCATTGGTTCAAATCCCAGCCACAACACCACCTGACTGGAGTTTGCATGTTCTCCCTGTGCCTGCGTGGGTTTCCTTCGGGTACTCCGGTTTCCTCCCATACCCCAAAGGCATGCTGGTAGGTTAATTGGATCCTGTCTAAATTGGCCCTAGTATGTGTATGTATGAATGTGAGTTAGGGACCTTAGATTGTATGCCCCTTGAGGGTTAGGGACTGATGTAAATGTGCAATATATATATGTAAAGCACTATTTCTAAAATATTAGGGCAGCGCTAAAAAATGCATGTCATAAATTCCATAAACGCATGTGACTTAAACGCATATGTGAGTAAAGTGCTGAAAGTGCAATATTGCATTGGGTGGAGCCCTATTGCTGACCTGCCATTTTGGTACTTTATTCATTTACTTATATATTTTATTACTCCATGTGGATACATTTTTATGTTACTTGATAAATATAATACTACACTATAAGCACCTTCCTGGCTCCTGTGGCTGAGCTAATTCCCCCCAGGACCACCAGGCACCCACCCTGACGAATGGATGGATGACCTCGTAGCTGTCAGCATACCACTGCACCCTCAGATGTATTATAATCAATGCGCATTATAATTTATGTTCTGTTGAGTGTACATCCGTACCAAGGGTGGATTTCCTTTTACAAGCTTTTGCACAGTTACTTTTCACGGATAACTTCACGTGCCAATCATAGGCATTTCTTCAGCTGATATCTTTGCACAAGAGACGTTTTAAATTCACGAATGCTCCTCTTATACTCCCTATTTGGCCCATTGGAACAAGGAGGTGTGGAGTCCAGAGAGAGACCATTTATGAAATAAGCCAAGAAATGTCTAGAAGTGCCAGAATGTGTCTTTTTTAACCATCATAGAGTTAAGCAGAACTGGGGTCCTTATCTGAACCTAAAGTGGATGTATTTTATTCTTATAGCCAGTTGGGGTGCTATTATCCCTATAACCCCCTATGACTATGTGCTAGAGCATGAAATGCATCAGGGAGGAGCTACAGCATCTTGACGTCACGCCTCCACTGGCGGCCATCTTGGACACACATGGTCAGTTTGTTTGTTTTTCTGTTGTTGCACCCTGATTTGGGAATAAAAATCCTCTGATAAATACAGTATCATGCTATGCGGCATCCATTTTTGGGCTCTCTGTGAATCTAAACATTCAGGAATCTAACCATTAGAGGAAACCTGGCGTTGCTGGTACTAATTGGAGGACCCTGAAGGGAACAGGAACCTGGCTATTACCATAGTGGATGATCTGGCTGACCTGATGAAACCGTTACTGTATATCGCAAATGCGTGATTAAATCGCGCATCTGGTGACTGCGCAATTTACCTATTATCGGTCACACCATCTACCACTCTGGGATAAGAAATTGGAATACCTTATTTGAGATCCTCCATGATCCCCACATTCAATATATTGGACTTTCACCGAACACTTTAACCACTTTACAGTATGTGGTTTTCATTGTGCACTTTATATTTATATCCAGTGTATTTACATATGTTTTAACACTTATGTCACTATTTTGAATTTTTTGCACTATCAGCACTTTATATGTTTATGAGTTGAATGAGTCCTCATTCTCCATCTGCATCAAGCACTTTTGTATATATTTATTTGTTATTAGCGCTGCACCCATTTTTATGTTTATTTATTCCTAGAAGGTTTATGGTTACCTTTGGTGTTTCAGCTACTTTGTGTTTGCAGCGCTCGCTTAGTTCTTCTTTTTTTATATAGAAGTCAATGCATGTAGAATAAAAAAAATAACTTACAAAAAAAGACCTTAAGATCACACTGTTTAAGTGCCCTTGAACTACATTTCATGTTTTAAACAATTTCATTTGTGTATATGTGACATTTAACATTTAGAAACAGAACATAACTAATCAGCAGAACACTAACCACTTCTTGGAGTAGATGCAGCAGTTGGATTGCTCCAGTCACTCCAGATGCCTGCCTTCTTAGAGCCATAGATCCCAAATGGGTTACACCGAACCTGGACAAAGTACACCGTTCCTGGTTTTAATCCAGCAAGACGACAGGAAGTCTGGTTGCCTACATCATCTACCACCTGAAAAAGTATAAATTCAAAACAACCAATCAATACTGGGGCATGTAAAAATGTTAAAAGCACACAAACATGTAACAGGGGACTGTGAGCATTTGGCCAACAGCGGAACTCAGAGCTAGGCTTGACTCCGGGAAGAAAGGGGGGAACTGAACCTGGAGAGAGACATATCTTGTAGGGGAGCTGCTAGATCTTCAAAGCTTTCAGTGCAACAAGAAAGTGCTTTGCAAAATGTAAATTCCACTTTTGTCATCTTTGTAAAGTACCAGCAAATTGTATATGATTTGAATAAAAATTAACAAAAGTCTGAAACTGTGAAAGGGCTGGGGATCTCATGTCTTGTGTACACTATGAATTTAAAATGGCATAACCCTTTGCGCGAATGCATTGTAGCCACATTCTCACCTTCCATTCAGAACTATCTTCTACTCTGTATCGAATCTGGTATTTAGCTTGAAACAGAAAGTCCTTTAAAGCAGGAGGGGAACTCCATCGAACACTCAATTGATCCTCCAAGTCACCGACTCGACTCACGTGAACATCTGATGGTGGGTCTGTGGTAACTGAATAAATATACCAAACATGGTTGGAATTTTAACAGATGTCTGTAAAGCTCTATCACATCATTGCTATATTTTGCTGCTGACATGCACCAGATAGTAAACATTCAAAGAATTTTTGGCAAAATATTTAAATGACACAAATTCTCCTCGCTAAGAAGGCAGAATTAATATTGTATTTTATATTGTGTTTATGGCCCATGTTTCCCTTTTTTTAATTTGTTTTCTTTGTTTTGTTTTTTTAATTGACTCCCTTTATCAAGTGCCTGTGACACGTCCTGTCGATAATATTCATATCCACTTGAAGACCAAGCATTTTCTGGCACTGTTTGTTTACATGCAAAAATCTGTATTTTTTGCTAGAAAATTACTTAGAACCCCCAAACATTTTATATATAATATATATATATATATATATATTTATATATATATATATTAACAGAGACCCTAGAGAATAAAATGGTGAGTGTTCCAATTTTTGTCATACAGTATTTGTGCAGCGGTTTTTCAAATGCAATTTTTTTAGTGAATTAAAATAAAGAAAAAAAAAACACAATTTGAAAGATGATATCACACTGAGTAAATAGATATCTAACATGTCATGATTCAACATTGCGCACACTCTCATAGAATGGCGCCAAAAACGATGGTACTTAAAAACCTCCAAAAAGGTGGCGCTCTAAAAGCCTTTAGGGGTACCAGTTTAGAGTTACAGAGGAGGTTTAGTGCAATTATTATTATTAATTATTACTCTGGCTCTCACGTTCCTTCGATACCTCACATGTGTAGTGCAAACATTGCTTACATATGTGGGTGTGGCCTATGTATGTGTTTGCCACTGTGTGCAAGCACAGGGGGGATGGGGACACTATAAAAAATGTTTAATTCTTTATTTATTTTATGATTTATTTATTTTTACACTTTCCCTTTACATTTTTTTAATGGTCACTTTTATTGCTATCGTAGCAAATGTAAACATCTGTTGTGGTAACAGTATATTATGACAGGTCCTCTTTTTGGAGAGATCAGAGACCACATCTCTCCTCTACAATGGAAAGCATTAGATCATAAGAAAAAAACATTGATCTAATGCTTTCCCAAAAAAAATTTACTTGTTTACATTCGGCTAGAAATGGAAGTCCGAACGACGTCGCTCTGGTCCTCATAGGTCATAGAGATTAGCTGAGGCCATCTTTCCTCAGCTAAACTGTATGCCCAGCCACTGTCACAACCGGATAAGTTCCTGGGCTCACTGATCCTCCAGGTAAGCCAGGGAACCAAAGGAAAGCAGTGGGGGGGGGGGGCCACCCCCCCCCGCCACTTTTAAACATGATCCAGCTGTTAATCAGCTGCTCGGATCACTTTTATTTAGAAACAGCAGCAGCGGCTGAAGAAAATATTAATACTGGGGTTATGGCATCCAGCTGCAGCCATAACCTCAATATTCCACTTCAAAACCTCAATGTATATATGTTTATTGCGGTCTTGAAGTGGTTACAAAAAACACATTCCAAAGTCAAAGAATGCTGATTATACATTTTGGACCAGACCACTGTTAAACTTGTCATCCTTCTGGATTATCTTTTCACTAAAATAAGTTTTCTAAAGAGGTTGTGGTTCTATATACTGCAAAAAGAGGCTACTTGTTTTCCCCTATGTATATCTCCATCAGTGTCTAAATTTTTGTGGCCATCGTGTCAGATGGAACAAATTAGGCAAAAATGTGCTTGTCACCACATACAACTCACCATGTAACATAAAGACCTACCTAATCTATCAAATCAATTTCTATCTAGTCAGGCAGGCCCTTGAACTACATAGCTGTTGGTAGATCTAAAGGAGATTGTAAAATCAGATTGTATTTTTGGTGCATTTGCACATTGCACATTTGTGCATTTGTGTTGAGTCTTTTGCTGATTGGATGTGGCTGATTTACTAAAGGATTAGAGCATGTTCACTTTGCAAAGTGAATTTGAACTTTGCAAGGGAAATTTAACTTACCTTAGTAAATGTGGTGAAAATTCACTTTTCAACGAATATCCAGTCATGTGCAAGGACAAGATAAAACAAATTGATGTCAGTACAGCTTCAACTCATTTTCTAAGTGAATATTCCCCTTTTCAAAGTGAACATGTTTTACTTTGGTTGTAAATCAGCTGCAATGTCTTTGTATAAATGATCCAGATAAGCATGTTACATGCATACCCAGAATATAAACATCCTGATATGCATGTTTTTTCCAGTGTCTTTGTTAACATTTTGAAGCCATGGATAGAGACTATATAAATGTTCAAGGCACTGAACTCATCTGCAAATTCTAATTTATAACAGGAGGAATGTAAACTCATTTATTATTTCACTGTCATTTCCACTAATTATTTATGTTCAAGCAGTAATGAAGTAATAATAGCAATACTGTAATTACAATACTTGTAACTTGTAATGGATCTCCTTCAGTAAAAGGTCAATTAGCTTGCCAGATACACATGAATTTAATGTTTAAATGCAAATTGTGATGATATGAGATTTTGTCAATGTAAATGTTGCATAACTTCACAACAATTTAACATTCATTAAAATAATAATTAATTAGGCAAATTTATATTTTGTTAGATGTCTGTGTGATTTGCTGTTGGGTGCTAGGTTAGGGGTTGATTTGAAAGGTGCTATCGGATATGATTGATTTAATGTAGTTTAGATATGTTATTTATTTTACTTGGTTAAGAATATTTCACTAACAAGTGTTTAAACTAATTTGTTCGTTGAATGTAAGATTAACTCATTAGGTAGGACAGCTTATAAACTGATCTTTTGGTTATTTGTTACTGATATTGACCTAAGTATAGGTTTGAATTTTTAAACAATTTATATTTTTTTAGCAGTTAATACAGATAATTTTTTACTTGATTATTTAGGGAGACCAGTAATTTTTCCTAGATATATAATTACATGGATTGATTGGTTGGTTATTTTAAAACTGTATATTTATTGGGCTTTAAACAAACAAAAAAATTGTATTTGCCATTATATTGAACAAATGAAAATGGCATTAAATTAAAAAAAAATTAGGCCTAGCAAATTACAGAAATGTTGTAAAAAGACAAATTAAAGAAAAAAACAATGAAACTAGATGGAAGATGGAAAAAAATTCTAAATTTAAAATAGGAGGACAATAAGAAAATAAGCCATGAATAAAGAAGACTCTCTCTAATTAAAAGCAGTTAAGCATTTAGTAGTTATTAGAATGTGACATGCAATAAGTCATGGTAAAAATCTATCCAATGCTTTTCATTTATATTTTAGCTTGACTCCAGTGGATTATCTTGATATGGAGTTAATGAAATCTTCCCAGTTATGGCACAAACAGAATAAAGACCTAATTTTATGAGCTAAAAATACAATAGAAGAACCACACACCAATGGTCAAAGAGTCTACATTGATGTTTTATTAAATTTATATTAAATTTTTATATATATATGTAGCGCTTACTCTCATAGGAGACAGTGGAAATTTGCCCAGGTTCTCTCCCAGTGGATTGCTCCTTGCAGCCAGGCACACAAACACAGTCACTCTTTTCCTCAATAAGCAGTCTAGGGGTCTTCTTTTTGTTGTTTTTATGTTTGAAGAACTTGGATACGGTTGAGGGAATTGAGAGGGATACTTAAACAGAACTTACGTACAAGTTGAGGACAGTAATCTCCTTTCAGTAAAGCTGTCCTTGCACATAGCAAACTGTGGACTTGGCTTGTGGTAGAAACAGTCGAATGTAGAGCAGAAGCAAAAGTTCTTGCAAATAGCAAAATGTGGACTTGGCTTTGAAATAGACGCAGTGAAAAACACACACGCTTTATCCTTCAGAGCAGAGTACCTACACAGAAAACTAGATAGACTAAGCTCTTCAGAAGACCAGACAATGTTCCCTTTAGCAAACACAACGCTGACACAAGAGGGGTGGCAACAGCCAAAAAGTCTCTAAGATCTCTCACAGCAGTCTGTATGTCCAGGGACAGTTGGATGCCTCATGCCAACTTCCAAGTGACACCTTTTTCCATTGACACCAGACTATATCTTCAGCAGACAGCCCATCAGTCAGATTTACATAGATTCAGCATCCAGGCCCTCAGGTCGCCCACCTGAGGCCTCATGAACAGCATGCACATAGCACTGTTGCCCTGGAGGGCAGCTGCCCTCCAGGCTGGACTGATCCTCAACTAGAAGGGACCCAGAAGTCCAGTCTATCAGAGTATTTATTCAGTTACCCAGAACTCTTCAGGGCCCTGCTCCCTGGGATTGGGGCTGAATAAATATGCCATGTGCATAGCTCCACACCTATATTCCAGATAATTCTACCACTCTCTGAAAGCAGAGGGAACTGTCAGATTAGCATCAGCTCAGAACACTGAACTGTCCTAATTAATCAGCTGCCCTGAATACAGTGAGCAGAGCTAGATTTGCCTAACAAACTAATTACAGCCACATTTGTTACAGTGAGGCTAGTTGAATTTACCTAACCAAAAATACACACACAGCTCCACTGAACACAGTAAGCCAGCACTTAATCTAAGTAATCCTAGCACCTATCTTGGAGGGTGCTACATTCATAGACTGAAAGCGTTATACACATTTTTAGCGTGTTTTGTAAAAGCACACAAAAACACATGCTGTTGCGAGCATTTACAAAATGGGTAGGTGGGCATAGGGGGAGATTTACTAAAGCTGTTGCACTCAGAATCTGGTGCAGCTGTGCATGTTAGCCAATCAGCTTCTAACTTCAGCTTGTTCAATTAAGCTTTAGCAATAAAACCTGGAAGCTGATTGGTTTTTGTGCAGAACTGCAACAGCTTTTGCCCTTTCCA